ATATCAGTTTCATCATCTTTGTCATCGCCTTTGCCCTAAATTACAAGTTGTAATGTACATCGTGACCCTTACCCACAACTGACTTTGGATACTGCTAGTAGACCTATCCTATGTTAATAACGTCAGCTACATAACAGGTCCCAAATCTATACATTCTACTTTTACGGTTGATTCTACTAAAATTAGACTTCCGAAAGCATTTATAGTAAAGTATTATCTAACTACTGAATTGATACTTTTATCAGCTATGAAGTAACACGCCCCCTGCTATCTTGTCGCTGATTATGGATTTGTGTAACACTCGACGAAAATTACCGTTGATTATATACGAATGTAAGTGTATGGTAATTGTATAATCAATGGTATCAACGTTTAATGTTAGGTTTAAGCACAGGCTATTGATAACACTATAACGATTTATCCATTGTATTTTGTTTAAGTGTGGAGCGTGTGTGGTATACTACAGGGGTTCTGTACTACAGGGAAATAGCTTATCGATTTGTGATAAAGCCATAACCCTGTGGTCCCATGCCCATAATAAAATGTATATAAATCCACATAAAAAAAGGATACTGTTCTCAGGCAAGAACTTTTTTTTTGTTAAGAATTTACTCCACTAAATCATACGACTCGATAGCTTAATGTTAATCCTCAAAATAAGGTAATTAGATAGTAATCATTAAACTACCTCGATTAATTACTTTAATAAATTATATGTGGGGTAATTTAAAAAAAATATTTTTACTGTACAAATGTAGTTTTAACAGTTTTGTAAATTTGCGTATTATAAAATCATTTTACACATCCAGTATTTTTATACGTTCAAACCTTACCTTAGCCACTTATCATTTTGTTACAGTATTGGTATTTTGCAAATAAATATCTTCAATTAAAACTATTTTATTTTACACTACTATATTTTTTTAAGTTGAGTGCATACTTTTTAATTTAATTTAATTATAACAATTGAACTAATACGTTATAATCCAATAAATATATTTAGGCTTCATAATAATCTTTTTACATATTGTAGCCTACTTCAAAAGTAAAATAATTCACATAGACTTATTAAAACGAATACTCTATTGACGTTACAGAAATTTGCATGACATCTTCACAAAATGTCATAAACAAAAAGTATAAAAATTATAAACTAAAAATACGCTAACACGGTATTACTGCAGACTACAGTATATAAAAGAAGAGGATTACTACTATTAAAATTTGCTCTTCTATTGAAGTTAAGTTAGGTTTGATTAGGTTGGGTTGGCTCAGATTGCAATATTATTTTAGATTTGGTTGTAAAAGTGTGCAAATTCACAAAATTAAATTATTACATTTTAACGATTATAAAACCAACACATTTAAAACAATCAAATTTATTAAAAAATAATTACCAACATGCAGTAGGCACTAACATTATTTAACCAACGGTTCGCCAAATTTAATCGCTCAATCTCGAAAGCCTACGTGACCATCCTCACTCAACGGATTGGCAGACTGCAAACCCGCTATCGCATTACATCAGCTGATAAACTTACGTCACCACACGTGCGAGGTCGCCATAGAGTAATAAGTCTCGTGAACATAGAGTATACGTGCTTCGCACCACGGTGCTACGACCTTGGAGTCTTATCAGATTCGCACTACTGACCTTAGCCAAATCATAGGTTAATTTATTCTATGATCAAATATTGCACTTGCAACGTTCCGCACGTATCTTCAAGTGATTCATAGGATGAATGAAATTTTTAGATAACTTCAGATTTGTTATTGGCTTTAAAACAATTATTTACTGATTTTTTTCAGGTAGATAGTTATAATTTATTGGATAGCTGAGTTTGAGTTACAGGTTTGTAACTGATGTATGAATGTTGTACTGTACAGTGCATTGAATATCAATAAAATAATAATTTGTTGATTTGTAGTATCGATTGAAAAGTTAATTTTTTTTATTTGGCAGTTTCATAGTAGTAGTTTATTCTTAATCACAAAAGTTGTAAGTGAGAGAACGATCAAAATGATTCGTATAATATGTTATATTAATTAATAATTTAATAAAAACGAGTAGGCTGATATTTTGGTTTAACAACATTGTAAATAATATTATTCTTTAATTTTTAGCTCTTTTAACCAAAAGGAAAGGAGAATAAACAATTAAAAACATAATAACCTCTAATCAGTAAATACTACTGTAATAAATTAACCTACAAATCCTACCCCATATTTTATACTTACTAATAATTACTATACAAACTAATACCAACTTGACCGCACAGAAACTTCCTGATTGAAATTGTAACCGCTATTCAATCGCAACAAATATTGCAATATTACATGCATTCTCATCAGTCTATAAAATAACTGGTTTTTATCCATCTGCTTTGCTAGCTTTCAACAAATTTAAATGTTTTCATCCGCAAATAAAATTCTTAGTGCCGAGTAAATTCCCTCTAAGTATTTATTTGGTTACTTCATACAAATACACTAGATTCCTAGAATACAAAACTCTACAGTATCTGGTTTTACATCTGAATTAGTTTTCAGTCCATGGAAGAAGAAGCAATATGGCTTATTTCCTAACAACGCCGTGCTATCTGTGAGACGCAAATTCAACATTTCCTTGTAGTAATATTGCTGCTTGAGCCTAGAGAACCTACAACATGCATAATGTATGAGTTATTTTATTATTTTTTTTTAACTAGTTCTTTATCAATAGTTTTCACATTTTATTAAATTAAAGATAATAGCACAAAGATTCCTTATGATACAACTTACGTTTGAAATACTTATGAAAGTACAACATTTGAATACAAATGTGACAGATACAAATTTAGAAACAATATTTCTTGTAATACACCATGATTTGTCACGTGAAATTTAATGCAAAAAATGTAAAACAATTTTTTCACAAAATAAAAAAATATCTTTGTAATGAAAATTTAAGATTTGGCTTAATATATTTGTTACTAGTTTCTTATATTTTGTATAATTTGATGTGTTTACATATCTAGTTCAATAACTTATCCAGTACAACCAAAGAGTAAATTACACTGTGTTAAATCTCTCTTTAAATACGTAGCATTTAATCGATGTCAGCACACTCTAGTCTTTCCGGACAGCAAATACACATCAAAACATACTTCAAGCTTTAAAGTAGGTTGTGAAGTTCACTTGCAGTATCCAAAGTCAATATCCATCTAAGACATTTAGGGTCTTACATAGCCTCACAAAATTGAAGCAATATAAGTACACTTGCAGTAGCTAAAGTCAATATCCATGTAATAAGACATTTAGGGTCTACACACTTAGTATATTACATAGCCTCACAAAATTGAAGCAATATAAGTACACTTGCAGTAGCCAAAGTCAATATCCATCTAATAAGACATTTAGGGTCTACACACTTAGTATATTACATAGCCTCACAAAATTGAAGCAATATAAGTACACTTGCAGTAGCCAAAGTCAATATCCATCTAAGACATTTAGGGTCTACACACTTAGTATATTACATAGCCTCACGAAATTGAAGCAATATAAGTACACTTGCAGTAGCCAAAGTCAATATCCATGTAATAAGACATTTAGGGTATACACACTTAGTATATTACATAGCCTCACAAAATTGAAGCAATATAAGTACACTTGCAGTAGCCAAAGTCAATATCCATCTAATAAGACATTTAGGGTCTACACACTTAGTATATTACATAGCCTCACAAAATTGAAGCAATATAAGTACACTTGCAGTAGCCAAAGTCAATATCCATGTAATAAGACATTTAGGGTCTACACACTTAGTATATTACATAGCCTCACGAAATTGAAGCAATATAAGTACACTTGCAGTAGCCAAAGTCAATATCCATCTAATAAGACATTTAGGGTCTACACACTTAGTATATTACATAGCCTCACGAAATTGAAGCAATATAAGTACACTTGCAGTAGCCAAAGTCAATATCCATGTAATAAGACATTTAGGGTATACACACTTAGTATATTACATAGCCTCACAAAATTGAAGCAATATAAGTACACTTGCAGTAGCCGAAGAAATTAATAAACCTAATATATGTTTAATTTCCAATCCCTTAATCGTGTCCATTTCTCTCGGTCCTGTCCATCTGTCTGGTTTTACGTCCATCGTTCCTTGTGTCGGTCAGTAAAAGTAACGTTAGCTGCATCTTGGAACGTGGACTTGGACCGGCGGCGTGCAGGAATCCAGATGACAGAAAAAGTCGATTTTTGGAATGAAGTGAAAATAAAAACAGCGATCGGGCGACCGCCAGCGGCGTAGTAGTCCTGGATAATCTAACCTCTAAATTTTAGTAGAAAACGTTATTGTTATTTGTTTTGTAGTTTACCATCCTTGGTCAGACAATAAACACGATTCAAAGGGGTTGTTGCACAATAGAAAAAATTGTTTAATCTTTTATTACTTTAAGGGTCCGTGTGTACGCAAGGGTCTGGGGCAACAGTGTTTCCAAAGGCCACATTTCACGTAGAATCAAAGTTAGGGTGTCATTTTGAAGAGGATTAAATTATCTACAATTTGGTGGTTGCAATATGTTTCCTACTGTACTATAAAGCCTGAAAATCTTCTTTTGAATGTAGACGAAAAATGAATTCTGAAACCAGGATCGCATAGGTAGTTCGTTGTTCTTTAAAACCACGTTTATTATTTGTCACTATAATGCTACAATGTATGGGTAGCTTACAATCAATAATTGAAACAATTTCCAGGTATTTGTTTACCTCACAACAATATGCATAAAGAATGTCAAGCTACTGAGGTGACAGATGATATTGATGTTGTGTAACCTTGGCCAAAAGCGCGAATAGTCTGATTCTGATTGTTATACGTGTAGGTTCTGTCTTAAAGGTGCTTGGTTCAACTCCTGCCAATCACTAATGATTTTAGCATGACATAACTTTGACGGAATTCCTTTACTCATTAAGCTGTAAAACTCACCATTCTAGTTTGTTTGTTCCAGAGGGATTTCGGAGAAGAGTGTGTATTCAACGAGAACATAGAACAACATCACTACAACGCATATTCGGCCACGAAGTATTCCAACCATCGTAGGACGGTCTACCTGGCCCTCAACAGGAGGGGAATGCCCAGGAGGTTAGTGACAAACTATAGTAGAAACTAAATTATCAATTAATTTTGTTTGGACTACCAAATCCGTCTGATGATCACGTTTAGTAGTAGTACCATAGATAAAACATACTCCCTTAGTAGATTTCTCATAAGGATCAGCTGAAGACAATTCTATTGTTATTGTTCTGTCCAGTGCACTGTGGCGGTCATATTTAGTTTACACTTTTTTCTTCATCTAAAACCTCGTTTAACCAAATAAAACGACATAATTATAGACAACAGCTCGTTCCCCAGTTATATAACCAAAAAGTTAAGCAAAAAAACATGACCCTAAAATAATATGGAAAAATTTTCGTTAACACTAGCGATCAGTGTCACCAACACGAACTAGACAAAAACGAATTTTAAAATTAAAGTCTACTGGTGCTGGTTAGTCTATGGTAGTGCCTTGGTCTATGGTCTATGGTAGTGTAAACTAAAACTCTTTTCAATCCTTCCAGGGTGCAGATAAAGGCGAAGTCCCCGCTGGGGAAGCTGAGTACGTACACGAACGTGCTGACGCAGACGGTGGCTGCTGACGAGGTGGAGGCGCTGACGAGGCGGCTGATAGGGGCTCTGCCAGGGGGGGCGTCAGCGGCGACGCACCTCAGGCATCACCATCAGCTGTGTCCCCCAGCGCCTACCAGGGCCCCGCACACGCCGACGGATCTGGAGCGCTGTCGGAAACGGAAGAAGCGACGGAAACGACGAAGGTGGGTGCTAAGATAGTTTGAACATTATGTCCCACCTTTACGTCCTAGGAAGCTAGGTTCTATCATAGACATGGTTCCATCGTTGAACAGCTTTACAATTTTTTTGAGAATATTCCTAGAGGGTTGCGTCCTCACTTAGGTAACATCCATTGGTGGTTGGTGGGATTTGAACCCGGAACCTCGGGATTTGAAGCCCCAAGCTCTAATACTAGACCAGCTCGCTTCCCTCGCATTACAACACTATATTTGGGGAAGTTTAGAAGTGTCAGCTTATTTAAAATATAATACTGGATCAAGGTGGTAACAGTAAATTTTCTCCGTGGATGAAAACTAGTTTTTTTAGGGATTTAGTAAAGAATTCCCCCTTTTGTTTTGTTTGTAGATTTCTTTCGTACTTTATTACGATAGCAGATTTTTAAACTACTCAGACTTATTTTTTACACAATAAACTTTTTAAAATCCAAGAACATGATTGATTTTTATTTAAATTTTTTTCAAGACTGGCAACAACCCTCTTTAACCTTGGAAAGGATTTGGAGTATAATTTGCACCCTTACAGAGATACTAAAAATCATAATATGTATAATTTGATATGAGCCACGGATACACCAAAGCAAAGTGGGCCGCAAATTGAGGTGGCGTTGTTGAAGAATCGACTATCCAACTCGTTCTAACAAAAATACAGTTACAGAAGTTTTTTTTATAAAACATTTTTGGTACATCACGTGTAAAATTTCCACCATCTGTAAACACCAAAAATTAAGTTTTTTACATATAATCTTACAATTTACTAACCAACAATATCTTCCAGATGTCGCGAAGGAGAAGAGGAGAACGAGGACTGCCACAAGGGGAAGGTGGTGATAGCAGAAGAGGGGAAGAAGAGGGTGGTGGTGAGAAGAAGGTGTGAAGAAGGGGAAGGGAAGTGTCAGCAGAAGAAGCAACTCATGATCGGACGGAAACGGAAGTCCCGACACGATACCAAGCGACTTCTTAGGCATCTTCCACATCCGAGAGGTCACCCGAGGAGTGAGGAAGAGGACTCCGAGGAGATCCATGACCACGAAGACCTCCAGGTCCACGATGACCACGAAGAAGCCGAAGAGGAAGACACCACCGACCACGTCGACACGAACGATTAGTGTATATAGTATGACGATAGTTTCCAGTGAACTACTTGACTGCGATTTTTGTACTCATTTGTTAAGCTTAGTTGTACAGTTATTTGTATATAATGTGTCTGCTTCCCCAACTCGTCTGCATTTTGAATTTGATTCAGTGAATCCCGGTGAAGTGTACGTCTTGAGGCAGCTATGTTGACCATAGTTGATATTTTCAGGATATTTATGAGCTTTCATTTTTAAAATCTTTAAAAAAACCTAAAGTAAAAAAAAAAATCAAAATGTGTTTGTCAGAACACTAAAGGACACGTTCTTTTAGGATTGTATGTGTTTCATAATTAATCGATTCATACATAAATTATCCCATTACAATTCTTGATTTTTTTATGTTTATCTCAAAATTACGTGTACTTTTAGGACACTTCTTTTAAAAGTGGATTTTAGAAAGATAACGTTGGAAATTTTTTTAATTATATTATAATGTTTAATAAATATACCAATACCTTTAAAACCCATTTTTAATGTGAAAAAATAAGCTTGTTCGTTTAAAAAGATAAATTTAAAAAGATAAATACATCATGTATTGTGGATACATTATCAACATCTTTGACAATTTTACATTATACGTATTTTTTTTATATATATTTGAAATTCAAATTCAGAATGCGGGCACAGTATTAGTCCAAGTTACCGCACATACATAGGTAGAGTGTGTGATTGTACCAGTATTGTCTATATAGGTAGTAATGTATATTAAACAGCTGACTGCATAGGTGTATAATAAACAGCTGACTGCATAGAGTAATGTATTTTGGAGCTGACTACTAGAGTTATAGATGGTGATTCTATCACTAAACTTCCTCTGTTGGATAAATTTGTATTGTTGAACATTTTGACATTGACGATGGAAAACTTAGATAAGTTGTAAAATTTTGTGAATCGTTAAACAAGTTTTACGGATCTAAAAACATCACTAACTTATAAAGGCTTTTGTAAGATGTTTGTAGACAAATTATTTATTAAAAATGATTTATAAAGTGATAAGGATAACAAAAAGTAATACTCATGTCATACAATGAAATTGTTACTTAAATTTTATTTTATTTTTAGGTAATTTTTTTTCTGTTTATTTTTTTTATTTTCATTTTATAGATATGTTTTATACATATGTAAACATTGCAAACGCACAAAAAAATCAAACTTTTATATAATAATGCTGCTTTAAAACAATTGCACTGTTAAAGTATTTGATATAATCTTCGTTCGTATTTAAAGAAGGTTTTGTTATACTTAATTGGCATGTTAAGCTAAAATGGTTTGTCAAAAATTAAAGATTTAGATGTGTTTAGTCGACTACCAATATTTTCCACATTAAATATAATAGCTCATATTGTGTTGTTTTTTTTTTCACAGAAGTCTGACAATTCTTAACAAACTTTTGTCTGCGTCAGTTTTATTTCATGAACAATTACTGTATGAATTTATATGCTAACAATTAGAATTAGTTAAATTAATATTTTTGTACGGTAAGCTTATTTAAGTAAAATTCAGAATTTCAGTTTTAAGTCGCGAGGTTGTCAAATATTTATTGTTATTAACAATGACATGTTTTTGCCTTTTAATTGTATGGTAAATTAAGTATTTTTTCCATACAACTCGCTTTATATATATCAAAAATTATCAAAAGAGTTAAATCAAAATAATTGTAAAAGGGAATATAATACATCTAATTTATTGTAGCGTAGATTATTTAATATTTTTTGTTTTGTATCGCCTAACTTGTATCATGTACCCATACCGCCTTGTTTGTTTATGTGTTCATCATTGTTTGTTTATTTATTTTATTGTATCATGGGTGTATTATATTTCCCTCCCCTCTACCTCAAATGCTAAGTGCCATTTTCAATCTCTGGTCAGCTACATTAGTTTATTGTTACTTAAACTTACTTACAATCAAAATTTGTACATTATTCGTAATAAGTAAAGATAAAAGTCGCTAGTCGACATTTGATAAAATTGTGTGCTTATTTACCTTCGTCCTGTTAATTATCTTGAATTAGGTATAATTAAATATTTTACCAGGATACAAAAATTCACTCAACACCAAGGTAGTGCAAGGTGAATTTTGATTATGGATAGATTTATATCAATATATCTATTTATATAAATCTACTAGCTGAGTACCCGTCCTTCGTACGGGATATACAATGCTTATTGTAGTTAAATACTTGTGCTTTGCATTTGCAATGAGAGAGGACACGTTTTGAGAAAATTTGGTTTACTATAATCTACGGTATACTATAGTATATAGAACATCGACCATAGCCATAATGTTCTACCACTTCACCTAAACAATAGAAAGAAGTAAAGTTCTCACACTCAGGGGTTTTTGTTGCTGCTTGGTTCAAATTAGCTGTTGTCATAAAATGTATAAAGAACTAATGGTGCTGCACCCTGTTGGTAAACCTTATAACCTTTTAATGCTATTGGATATCATAGAAACAAATTGTGTGGTTGAAACAGCTGGCAAAATCATTTAATTCCTTTTAAATATGAATACTCATAAGGTTAAAATGGGAAACTCTAGAGCCGCTGGGGCGGAGCCCGAAAGGATTTTTGAGGTAAGAATACGTCTATTATGTTAATCGGGAATGTGAGCTATCATCATACCAAATTTCGACACAATCCGACCAGTAGTTAATGCGTGATTGAACTTCAAACAAACAAACAAACAAACACACAAACTTTCACATTTATAAGATTAGTATGATGTAAATCAATAGTTTAGAAGGTACCTATATCAACTTCAGACTTTGACTGATATACAGTATTGAGTAGACATTCTAAAATTTTATTCGATTTAGAGTCCTCGGAGGCTAGTGACCATGTGGCCATCTTGGATAAGTTCAAACAGCTGCTGAAGAGTTAAATATATATTTTATTTTATTTTGACGACCACGAGAACGAGTTAAATTTTTTTTTTAAATTTCTCTTACTACATAAACTGGAAGGAACGCTTTGTGCAAGCTTTTGCTTTTGCCCCCCCCCCCCCCCCCAACTGTCATAAAATCGAAATATAATCTAGGAAGCATATATAAAGCTTATGTTAGAAAGGAAAAAACTAATTAATGATACTATTACCATGCTTTAATCCTTTAAACAGTTACAGATAAAACTTACTGCCCAATTATAATGTTGAAGTGACCTATTAAAGCATAAATTATTTATTTTAATTTGTATAGCCATACTCATAAATTTGAATTGTTAAATAGCTCACATAAAATACGCATTGATGATAAGTTGTAGAGGTTGCAAATCGCAAACAATTTGGGAACAGTATACAAATAATAAATATAAGCATAATCTAAATTTAACTCGGTTGTATCAAAAATACTAGATAACTTGTAGAGGCCTAACTAAATATTTATGGCAGCTTCAACGCTACCGATTTGTGTTTTGAGGTTATGTTATCATCAGCTGTTTGCGTATGTGCAATGACGTCATTCGCGAATTGTAGGTGAAGCGGACATGGCACTGGACACGTATTCCCGCCGTTTTCGCACATCAGCTGTTTGCTATTTGGTCTGTTACTCTTTACTGCTGACGTAAGCGCCGCATGAAACTATGCGGGTATACGTGACTATTGGCAGGTATACCTTTAATTTCACAACTGAGATTTTTCTGTTATTTTAAATGACCAATCATTATGAAATTGTTATTCTTAAAACTCTTGGTAAAAATAATGGAATAAATGCTATGTTTTGTAACAAAAATTCATATTCAACCATTTTTAATTTATAGACAACTTGATAACCTTGAAGCGTAGTTTTATTTTCATTAATGCATATATGCATAAGCAACTAATTGGACATAAAACTTAAACAGTATGAGTTCACAATATGAGTATTCGAACTGAGAACTGAGGATTCCAAACTTTGCAATCATAAACTTTTTTTAAAAACAACTAGAAAAAAATCACTTAACTATAAATATATATATTTTTTACAAATAAAACAAAAATAGTAGACTGCTCTCTGGTCTGAAAAAGTTGAAAAGTATACAAACATATTTTCTACTTTAACCGTTACAAACCTACCGGGATTTTGAGGAACTACCATCTAAATATGGTTAACCAAATAATATTTTGGATACATTCGCTCTCTAAACACCCGAAAATAGCATGTAAGTATTAAAAAATATAACTGAAACAAATATATGAATACAAAATAAGTACCTATTATGATTCAATAACCAGGAATAAAAAAAATCAAGTTTTTGTTTTGGCAAGTTTGTCACTGAGGAGAAAAATAAAATAAACTGTACTTTTTGTATATTTTAATCTTACTAAACCAAAATTAAAATCTCTTTTGAAAAGAATACTCATGATATTAATTGCAGCTCTTAACTACATGAGCCACTAAAGTCCCCAAAGGACTTAACAAAAATAACTTAATTTGATATATTTCATATTCTAAATCCTTAACTTAACAATTTGATAAATTCTTTATTTTGACAGTTAAAAATCTCATAAAAAAATTAAATTGATTTTATCCTAGGAAAAATAAGCCATATAGGCAATAATTTAAGCATCAGTTGATCGCAAATTGATTGAAATGTGGTAATATTATTAAGACCACATACACAATTATAATCTTAGGGAGTCGTAACAGTGGCTTTCCCAGGAATTCATTTTGGGGGGATGCCCACCGGGGGGTCTGGGGGTGGAATTTCCCACAGAAAAAATGGGGGTTCGGGCACCCCAAAAAATAAGGAATTTAAAGCCTGAAAAAGTATTTTTGTACGTATTTGAGTTCTAAAATATGCTCAAGCTAATAGTTCATGTTAGCTAATAAAATAAAAAATATTTCGGCGGGGGGAGGATATCCCTCCCATCACCCCCCTGGGACCACTACTGAGTCGTTATATTAAACTATAACTTTGTTAACAGCTATATTTTTTTTTCTTCAAATTTAGACAAATATATAACAGCTAGAGTAATGTTCCAAATCAGCAACGGTAGGCAAGAGTGTCACAATACAAATAAAGCACACGCTCTACTATAAATTTATATTTAAGTACAAACTAATATTATTAGTAAATCAGCTGATCGCCCAATGCAAATCTAATGGAAATTACAAGTTACAAGCTGTAACTTGTAACTTGTAGTTTATTATGAAATGGGCCCCTGGAAGTTATTTTAGTCATTGTAAGTTTAAGAAAATGCATAAGAATGTTTGATTTAGATATTTTAATAGGACAAGCTTGCTGATGCAAGCTAATAATAAATTTACAGCTAGTAATAATTAATTGTATAGAAACACCACAATTAAAAAATGTCACGAAAAGCTTCAGCGTAACTTTAAAAATGATTACTTAATTTACTTTGTCAATCATATTCGTCTTATTAGGTACGTAATCACTGTCAAGGCCTTCATTATCGCGCGAAAAAAAAAACACTTGATAACAGTGAACGCACTCCAAAATAGTCAGCTGATGTTTGTTGTGACTAACAGCTGACGCAAGTTGCGCAGAGAGCAGACGACACACTGTGAACTGTGACTGCACAACAAAAATGGCTTCCCTTCGCCACTGTTCGAATAGGTTACTCCAATTAAATAAAGTTTTACCAAAGAATTCTCGCCCGTTTACGCTTTACAACAATAGAAAACCGATAAATACAATATACACAACATTCGGTGTTGTAGTGAGTGCTAGTGCTTTGTATTATTTCGTATCAAGATTCAGAAATGCTCACACAGTTCATGCTTTTAAACCGAGGAAGGTAAGATTGTTTACTATCTTTATTTCATACTTTTATACACTATAATCTGTATGTTATACTAAGGCTAAGCTTTATTTGCAAACTGAAATTTGCGTGGTTTGTTGGAGTTAAGGTCTATCACTCCTGCTACTCTTTAATTAATTGGTGCTACTTCCCTATAGGCTTTCCCTAACAGGTTATTTTCTGGTCTGACTGTAAAGCCTATTAATAGGACCTTACTAGGCCATGACCCTGTGGCAATTAGACCCTTTGTTACATAGATAGGCCCTATGTTAACTGTATTAACCTTTAAGGTATTTAAACTTATGTCTGATTATGATTAGGTACCAGTTAACTTAATCACAGACACCATAGTAAGTTAAGCTTAGTCCTAATATTTAGAAGAAATCTTTGCTGTTAACTTAGATGTCCAACAAAACTAAACATAACACTTAACCAATGGATACCTATTTGTACAGTTTTTATCTTGATATTGTGTCTCTAACTTACGTTAGTTTCACTCCAACATGTTGTTTTCTGTAAAACTAGACATTTTCTACCTGTGAATGAAGTTATATCTTACCTTAGCAATGTTTTATTGCACTTTACCTTACACACTACTTAATATTGTAGCCTATGATTAAGCTTAATTGCTTTTGGGTTTTATTTTACACCCATTATAAATAGCTTGCCAAAAACTCTTTTATCGCCTAAGAGCCTAGGCTGAGATAGGCTTTTTCCTACATAAAAAAAATATCAGTCGGCTCTCTCGCTCCGCTAATGTAGGCTAGCCCCACCCCTTCTTAGTTGTGTTAAAAACTGTAGGCATAACAATCATATGATTTTCCGCTTCACACTATAGTTTACTGATAACGATCTAGCTAAAATTATCCAGTTAGAATGTCTCTTTGCTTTGTTAATTTGTAAGTTGCACAAGTAACATTTACAACGAAAGAGAGGATACATTCGCATGTTTTATGGGAAAGTGGTTCAAATTTATCAAATATTTATTGAAATGCAATGAATTGTAGCCATCTATCTCGCAATGAAGTCCAGCACGCTAACAACTGCTATAGCCTATGGAATATACAAGCTAGGCCTATGTTTATTTTGACAAGGTACTGAACGCTATGCATAGGGTGAATGATAATAGGCCTAAATTTTACAAAATTGCTATCCAAGTCTAGAATATTTGCATAGGTACTATGAAGAGCAAGTAGTGTATCTTAGGCTATATCTAATTCCATCGTCAGCGTAGACATTGAAACAAAATTTTGATCTTGTGTTCTTGGCCCATAAAGAGATAAAAATCATGCAGGATTAGTGGTGAAAACACTTGTGATTTCATTCAGTTTGTCACAAATTGTTAAGTGAATTAATTAATTTTACCCACACCATTGGATTTAACCGTAGCCTAACAATATGGTTTTCAATTCAAAAATTTATTTGAGTAAGTTGATGTACCCTAAGTGGTTTGCAGTCATTGGTTTTAAAGTCTTACTTTACTTAGCATCCTAAACTGGTACAAATTGTCATCAAACATTCCGAAGGAAACAGTATAACTTAACTCCTAGAAGTAGGCAAGTCAACTGATATTTACAGTAGATTGTAGCGGGGTCAAGCTCAACTCTATTCTGTAAACAGTCATAACAGGACTGAATTTGAAAACAAGTCCAACTGGAGGTTTTGACGAGCTGAGCTTTAACTTGAATAGGCCTTACTAGCCTAGCCCATTCTCTTATATTAGTGATTCAATATCACGGTAGGCCTAGGCCTTTTAAAATATCAATCTCTTACAATACTAGGTTTTTTGGTTAGTAAATAAAAAACTTGATTCAATACGTAAAATAAAGTTTACTAACAAATTTAGAAGTGATTGAGTGTTCACAAACATCAATCTTTCAATGAGTACCCTTTACCTTGAAAAGGAACAAATTTTTCATTTTGTTGCCGTACAAACTCTTTTTGTCTTTCCCTCAAGAAAACCAGCTCATTGGGCATCGTCGCTCGATTTTCTTCGAGTCTGCTCCTTTTAACAGGTGGCTCAAATTTGTCTTTTTCTTCAAGTTTTCTCTTCCCATTCTTCAACGAATAACCAGTTCCCTTGAAAGCGACAAATGTTTTAAGTATATTTTTTACACCTGGCGGTTTGTTTGATTCATTTTGCAAATTCTTACCCTTTGCTGTACGTTTTGGTTTTTCAGGCACGTACAACTCCAGTTCCATTTCACAGTCTAGTATACAAACAGCTGATGCAGGTTTTGTCTCAACAATCTTTACCTTGTAGGTTTGGTTTTTATTCGGTTCATGCACAAAGAGAACGTCCCCCTCAGTAAGACATGCAAAATATTTCAGGTTTTCTTCGAGAACTGCTTTTGTGTCAGAGATGTACGCAAAGTTTCTTGTAAGAGGCTCTAGTCTGCAAAATGTGGCTGACGGAAGCGAAACACTCTCCACGGTAACCGATCCACCAGCTTTTAAGTTGAGGTATTTGAGCATCCATTCCGGTACATTGATCGTACCTTCTTCAGCAGTAAATTCAAAAACACCAGCATGAGTACAACGGTCGTTATTATCATTTTGGACTTTGAAAATCAACGGGAAAGGTAAATCGAGAGTCTCGATTCGCTCTAGTGCTGACACGGGCAGTAGTAGCTTTCCACCCCTTTCAACTTTGAGTTTGTCCTTGTTGACAAGAGGAAAGCACGTGTACGACTCTTGGAATTTGGAAACTTGAGTATTCTCTTCAAACTCTGAATTTGTGGACATTTTAAAGTTGCAGTGTACGGTATATTGTTCTTGGATTTATTATTGTTAGAGAATTTGGTTTCTATGATACAAGTATAAAATTAATTTGATTTGTAGTTTTTTCAGGCTATCACATTATTTTCTTTGAAATATTAAACATTGTAGTTAACTTTAACTTTTTATTTTGGTGAACTAATTTTCTCCTTTTTCTAAATGTGACTTGCCTTGAAATTTGTATTTTCAAAATATAGCCTAACATATTTACCCTATGTTTTTCAAGACCTTTTATGTATGATGGTGGTAGATTATTTTCATTTCTACTATTGTTTACACCAGTAGTATTTTGTAAGAAACTTAAACGCTTTCTAGGGAAAGCGGTTTAAATCCTTATTTTTTGGAAATTCTGGGAATCAAACCCATCTCTTTACACACGCCACGTCCAGTCTGAAGGCGGGGACACACTTGTCATACACCCTTCCGATCCGACTCCGATCATACTGCGGTACGACTGTCGTAGAGGGGAATGGTACATAACATTGAACGCGGTTGTTTACACCTCTCCGACACGCGTCACGTCATACTCCGATCCTACTCCGATTTTGACTCCGATCACGCACCGACACTGCAGTCTATTCGTTTGTCGGATGCAGGACGGGTAGTTTCTTAAAAATAACCTTTATTCTTAAGGTTTAGGAACAATAGTTTAAGATAAATATATGCCGATGCTTGATTTGAAATCTGTGCGTGCATACCTTCAATTCGAGACCTCAATCATGAAAATCGGACGGGTAGAAGAGCTAAACGAACTCGAGAGAGAAAAACCTATAATATATACAGGGTGATTTTTAAATGAGTTCCCCCCCTACTTTTTTCTACATTTCTTAAGATATCAACTCTGGACCACGTCAGATCATTGTAGAGTAGTAAGTACTTCATTTTGACTGGGTTCATTTTGACACACATGTCATACACGCTTCCGAACCGGCGACCCATCTCCGATTTCCTCCACCGGGTAGATCAACACTCGCCAGTCTGATTCGTAAACGTAAACTACGTGCAGAAGGTGATAAATACTGTATGTTCAAAAACTTTGGTATTCAGGATTTAGCCATGGTGGCGGTATGTCTAGATGAACAGGAAGAAAGTCAGACATCTCTGGAGGGCAGTGGAAACGGAGAATTTGGGTCCATTCTGCATGGAAGGAAAGCAGAAGTGCCCATTATACAGGGTGATTTTTAAATGAGTTCCCCCCCTACTTTTTTCTACATTTCTTAAGATATCAACTCCGGACCACGTCAGATCATTGTAGAGTAGTAAGTACTTCATTTTGACTGGGTATAAATTTTTGGCCGCCATCTTGGATCCGCCATATTGGATACAAAGTTTTTTTTTCAAATGTAAAGGTAGGGTTGTGACCCATTATTCCAAACTAGAATTTTACGCTGATTACAATGCCGCAAATAGTTTTTAAAAATCTTGATCCGTTCTAAAGTTATAAGGACTTTTTATAACTTGATTTTTAACCCATTTTAACATTGTGCATGTACAAACTAAGACCATAAACTCAAAATAGTGCTAGGTAAAGATTAGTATACACCACCATTCATTGTCGACGTATTTTCACTGGTTTATGACGGATGTATTTTTTTCAGCCGGATCCGCCATTTTGAAATGCGACAAATTAATTTAAATATGAAGATGGTGTTGTGACCCACCATTTTGAACTACTTTTTTATGCTGAACTTAATGCCGCAATTAGTTTTTCATTTGCATGTTTTGTTTTTGAATTATTCAAATTTTAAATAAGATAATTTTAAAATTTCACCAAGAAAACTTGATAACCAAAAACAGATTGCAGCATAGAATTTAGCATAAAAAAGTAGTTGAAAATGATGGGTCACAACACCACCTTCATATTTAAATTAATTTGTCACATTTCAAAATGGCGGATCCAAGATGGCGGCCGAAAAAATACATCCGTCATAAACAAGTGAAAATAGGTCGACAATGAATGGTGGTGTATACTTATCTTTACCTAGCACTATTTTGAGTTTATGGTCTTAGTTTGTAAATGCACAATGTTAAAATGGGCTAAAAATCAAGTTATAAAAAGTCTTTATAACTTTAGAACGGATCAAGATTTTTAAAAACTATTTGCGGCATTGTAATCAGCGTAAAATTCTAGTTTGGAATAATGGGTCACAACCCTACCTTTACATTTGAAAAAAAAACTTTGTATCCAATATGGCGGATCCAAGATGGCGGCCAAAAAT